GCTCGTGTTGTCCGAGACGCCTGCAGTAAACAATACTAGAGCTTGCATCACCAAATACGGGGCAACACCTGTTCGTCGCGCTCCAAGCATGCTAGAGTACTAGAGTGCATGCACACAACGGTTACCCCAGTCACCACCCACCCAGCAGCAGCAGCTTGAGGTGGTAGCGCGAAGAGAGGCCGGATGCCGGCCGTAGTCTCCAGGGCTGCAGCTACATCGCAGACTCATGTCAGAAGCCTACCTAAGCGACGGGGCGTCACATGTTCCATGGTTTTGCCTGTCGCTAACCGCAGATGCATGCCCAAGATAGAGATGCAATCATCAAGACGGCTTTCACCAACTACCACGGCAACCTCTCTTGTCCGTCATGACGTAGAGAGGCTCAACGATGGAATAAACAATTTCTGTGAGGTTGGACGTGAGACTGCTCCACGTGCCGCCCAGCCACTCTCGTGTTAGCTCGCCCCAGGCATCTCAGACGTCGGTGCACCCAACGTGGTCGCCAACACTGCCAGGATAGAGCGTCGTGCCCTCGCGCTCCCAGTCCGGCCCTTCACTCTGCTGCTGCCGCACACCTGCGCCACACGCCCTCGGCACCATGACTGAGGAGTCGTCTTCTGTCCGCTCGTCTCAGGGGTCCTCGCGCCGGGCGCCCAAGAATGTACGTGGGCTCTCTCTCTCTCTCTCCGCATCCCGCGCCCAACACCAAACAACCGTCACTGACACCGCATCCAATGCAGCCCCAGCAGCAGCTCTCGCAGATAGAAAAGTCCGTCACACACCTGCTTGTGGCCACCAAGCAGCTCCTCGGTGCGTCCCCGGCGCATGCAGCCCCGCATACACACGTGCTAACACGGTGCAGAGACGTTGACACTATGGTCGCGCGGGACCGCCACCGAGAGCGAGGTCTCGGACGTCTACGTGCGTCTGGGCTATGAGTTCAACATCGCGTCGCGCGCCTTCAACGCGATTGGCGTCGACACCAACGACCTCGGAAACGTTCCCGAACTACTGCGTGGCATACTGGAGGAGACGCTGAGCCAGGAAGCATCGCAAGCGAGCCTCGACAATTTCCTGCCGCGGATACGAGACATCATCATAAACCTCCTGCACGGCCTGAAGAAGAAGCAACAGCGGTTACGGCAGCGCACAGGAAGAGATGGCTCGCTCAACGGTGGGGGCAGTCCGCGCCAGGGCAGCGTTGGGAGTAGTGGTGATGTCGAGGAGCACCAACAACCGCGATCCGCAAGCACAAGACTGCCTTCAAGAGGGGACAGCCCGTCGTTTGGCGGCCCCGACCTCCCACCGCGCTCATCTTCGGTAGCTGGCGGCCGCGCCTCTCCAAGCAAGTACGATGCCCTCCCTTCGAACCCGAAAGCGAACCGCTCGACCACCGCAAGCCAGCTATCCACCGACTCGTCCATTTCGAGCGGCACCGCCCAGCAAATGCCTGTCATTGCTCCTTATCCCGCAGACGATTCCATGCCCAAACCACCTGATCCCCCGCGGCCTAACTACCCCGTCGACTTCCCACCACCTCCACCTCCACCGAAACAAGAAGATGCGCTCGCGGCATTGCAAAGAGGTGGTGAGCTGGAGCGGAGGGCGTCGCGCCGATTTTCAGCATACCAAATCCAGAAGCATCTTGGAACAAATGGCATACCACTTCCACCTGTCCAGAATTCGCCCATACCGAATAGGGGTCGGGATGTACGCGAGTCTATGAACGCAGTGCGGACCAGGCAGTCCATGATGCACAGTCGCCAGCGGTCAAATCAGAGTCTCACGCAACAGCGGCCTGCGGTGGAAACAAAGTTCTCCTTTGATCAGCCCAATGAGAGACGCATTTCCGAGGAAAGTTCGCAAAGCGCCACGCCGAGCATTCTGCCACCAAAAGAGTCGGGTCCTGAAGACAGTCCCGTCCAGAAGACCCCAGACGACAAGCTTGCGCAGCCGAAATTCCCAGAAGGCGACCAATTCTCGCTAGGTGCGACGCTTAATGGTCCGTTATCAGAGCCAGCTGAGCTTGGAGCCGCATCACCGGCGAAAGAAGACCCGCCGAGGCCTACAGCCAGCCGCAACAGCTCCTACAGAGTCAAGACGCCCTCTCCACAGCCCTCTCAGTTCATTCCAGAACAGTCACCTCAACAAGGGAAAGAGCTTACCTTGTTCCTCCAGTACAAAAGCAAGATCAAGAAATACGTCTTCACAGATGGTGCTGAGCTTTCTTCGGCCCGCCTGCAACTCGCTTTTATCGAAAAGTTCGCCTGGGATACGCACCGTTACGGCGACCTGCCTGAAATCCACATCCAGGACCCCGTTTCCGGTGTACGATACGAGTTGGAGGACATTAACGATATCAAAGACAGGTCTGTACTTGTGCTGAACGTGGAGCAGCTCGACGAAGTAAAGAGCCACATCGATGACAAGTTTGGCGGACTCAGCAAACTAGTGGAGAGCATCAAGACAGTGGTCGAGGACCAGCAAGCAACTATACAACGTGTGGCCGAACGTCAACAGCAAACGACAAAGGAGATCGCTGGTATATCAGCGGCACCTCTTTCTTCAGCTCGCAACTCCGCCCTGCTGCCCTCTCGTCCCATACCGTTAGGCACACCCTCCGAAGCCAACATTACTTCAGCCACTCAAGTAAGCGAGGTGCAATCGCTACGCCGTGATTTGGCTGTCATGCGACAAACATACTCATCTTTTGTATCGGATATACAAGCTAGCATGTCCACCATACGCACAAAGGCCAGTGCTGTGAAGTCCACTGCTATCAAGGCTGCCTTACCCGCACTCGATGGAGACAGCGGTCGCGCTTACATTAACGCTGGCAAGAAGGGTCTGCAAGACGACTCGGAGAAGATTGTCAACAGGGTAGATGACCTACAAGATCTTGTTGAAGACCTCAGAAAGGACGTCGTTCTGCGTGGCGTGCGACCTCTGCCCCGCCAACTCGAAACTACCGCCAAGGACCTGTCGACAGCCACTGCCGAGCTCAAGAAGCTACAAGATCTTCTGGCAAAGGAGAAGCCTCTCTGGACCAAGATTTGGGAACAGGAGTTGCAGACTGTGTGTGAAGAGCGAGACATGCTCACTATGCAGGAGGAACTCGCAGCCGACTTGCAAGATGATCTCGAGAAAGCAGCCCAAACACTTGAGCTGGTCGAGCAGGCAACCAAACAGCAGAATCTTGAGAGCGAGAAAGAGTCTGGAAAGGGGATGCGTTCAGCTAGTGGCCGTAACATGCTCAATGCAGTTGCTCTCGACAAAGTTGTGGATCCACGCCAGGCCCGCGATGGAGTACTTGGAGAAGTCAAGGCCCTGCAACCAAACCACGAAGGCAGGCTTGAGGCCATCGAGCGAGCGGAGAAAGCGCGACAGCGTGATCTGGAGACGAGGAACGACGACGAATTCAAGCGCGAGCTCGGAAACTTTGTTGAGGAAGGCAAACTCAAGAAGAGTGGTGGCGTCGAGGAAGCAGAGCGCCTCCGCAAAGCGAAAGATGAGCGCGCACGAAAGGAGAACTTTGAGCGAGAAGCCGCAAGACAAAGAGCCAAAGCAGAAAAACAGCAGAGGGAAGCCGAAGCTGCTGCCGCTGCCGCTGCCGCCGCGGCTGCTGAACCAAACGGCGACGGTGCTGATGGCCAAATCGGAGAAGCGGAAGCTCCAGCAGAGAATGCAGAGGAGGCCAAGGGAGATGAAGGTGGTCCTGCCTAGACGCCTGCCATCTATTCCTAGCCTTCCCGTCTGTATTTGAGCTGATCCGTGGTCTTAGATCTCCCGAAAAGACAATTCACAATCCGCCCCTGGGTCAAGACCGGCGGCGTTCCGCTATCGATGCAAATGAGATTTGCCGCAGCTACAGGGCTGGACCTACCAGTAGCGGCAGTGTCATCTACGTCTACGCCCACGTCTTCGTCTCCTTCTACTTCTACAGAGAGTATAGACCCGCTCATCTCAACCATCAGAGTCGTGACTAGCGCAGCACAAATCGATGACACCTCTTCGAAATCGGAGACGGACGATATACATCCGCCCACGCGACCAAGCATTATGCCTAGAATACATCGCGATATACCAACATCTATTACACCAACATCCTATTCCGGCGACACGGACACACCATCGCCGATCCTTCCTTCGAATTTCGGCCCACGACTCGCAATCTCACGAGGTGGAACGCCTAGAACTTCTCACTCATATCGCACACCCAAGCCTTCTCACAGTTTCCACGGTCGCGACAAACCCAGCTCGGGTACATCGCCTGTACGTGCACGCGGCATGACTTTCCCACGCGCCTCTCCCAGAGTGACCAAGTCCAACTCGCAGAAGACGTTAGATGCCAACCCGCACACGCCCGAGAGTAGCAGCGCAGACAGTGTTTCACAAAGCGACAGCGATAGAGATAGAGACACAGACAGTGTCCTCTCCTTCACCCCCAGCATGGGCGGAAAGAACCTGGCCAACTGGTTTTCCGGACTGTTGGGAAGATAGTAGAATAGCGTGTGTACATAGAGAGAGCAGCGATGGGCAAAGTCGTATACGTACGTCGTGTTCTCTTCAAAGGGAGGGATGTATGGTATCTGTACTTTATGTAATTATTGGTGGTAGCATCGGTAATGGCGTTAGTGTTGGTAATAAGGTTATGCATAGCGATCAAGGCGTTTGGGGCACATTGGTATGAGATATGTTGGTATTGTGGGATGATGGCGAGATGTTGATACGCGGTGAAGTGGGATAATGCAATGGATCACGTATCATCTCAGACGTTTTACTTACCGTTGACGTACCCTGCAAATTGTCTTGGCAAGGTGAAAGTGTAAGCACACTGGCAAATGTCTAGATCAATTGGCTCATTCAGGGACAAAGCGCACGGTTACTGGTGCATAGCAAACAAACGGTCGCATACGAGAAAATTCCATGGGTTCGATTGATGAGACTTTTCTACTTCACGTTCATCACCAAACCTGATTCTCCCAAGGCAAATCGGCACCATGTCGACCGCAAGAACAGTGACATCGCCGGTGTCTCCGGATCGCACGATCCACGACGCTATACTTGCAGCGCTCGCTCTTCCCACCCTAAAAGCTAAGGCGGAAGCCTTGAAGGGAGCTTTACAAGACTGGCGAGGCGACGCTGAGGCAGGTGTCAAGTCTCCCCATCTACTCGTCCACATCTTCGACCGCTTGTACGAACTCGAGGCACTCCCCGGCGCCCTTACCAAACAAGACTCCACCAACTTCAAAGTCGTCCGAGAAGTATGCGACGAACTCGGCTTCAAGATGCTTTTCGCGCGTGTTGACAAGGCGCTCGGTGGTTGTACCTTTATCGCACACAACAAGATCGCGAACTGGACAAGAAGCCGTCCTAAATTCGACATTCCCAAAGACTGGGTCTTCATCGATAGACTAACGCTTGAGCACGTTGTCGATGTGCATGGAGAGTCTTTGCCCGGTTGTCTACCTTTGTTAGATTCGGAAGTCATTCAAAAGGACCCTTTTACGTATAAGACGGCTAGCGTGCAGACTTGTGAGGGGGTCAAGAGCATGGCTTCGGGGATGGAGTACGGGCTTTGGCATTTGTAAGTTGTAAAACGTCACAAATGATTGCGATGCTGTGTCCTAGAGATAATGATAGGTACTAACAATATTACAGTCATGAAAAGGCAGCACTCGTCATTATTCCTACTCATAATGTCACTGCTTACGAAGTTCGACAATGCTTGACTATTCCGGTGAAGGAGAGCGTCTACCACAACGAGGATCTCTGGGAACAACACGGCCCGGACCTTGGCTCGCCGCAGGCTGATTCAGAGACTATCATTCAAATGCTCGACAAAGCAACGGAAAAGGCGCGTAATCCCGTCATGGTTACGACCGAGGACGAGCACATTCGGGAAATATGCGAGTTGTTCTACGGATACTACGACAAAGAGAAGAGCGGTTGGCATACACTCAGAAGGTTCCCAGCGATACGCGAGGAGGCTTTGGAGCGTCTGACTGCTGTAAGCGTGGAGTACGGCTCACAGGACATTTGGCAGAGGGCAGTTGAGATGCTCAACGAGTGGTGGCTCTCTAAGCCCCAGATGAAGACCGATATCACAGCTGAGACGCTTTGCCATTCGCTGCATCAATCGCTGGGCAAAGAATATCCCGAGAAGGCGAGCTATCTGGTGAACGGGACTTACGGTCTTGAAGCGAATATCGCCGTATGCAACAAGATCAAGGTCGCTTTTGAAGCTAATCATGAAGGAAATGAGTAAGTGATGGATTTCTAGTCACTTCCATTTTGGTTCTTGCTGACATATCTCATAGGGACTATGCCCGACCCCCACTACCGGAAGCCTTGACAACGTATAGATCATCCATGATTCGAAAATTACTGGCGGCTAGCAAGATGGAAGACTATGCTCTGATCCCACAAGCCGGCCGGGTGCTTGAAGACGAGCAACTCATCCAAGACACCCTTCACCAAGTGTTCAAGAACGCAACCCCTCCAGATGTCGCGCGCTACCTGCAACGCATGACCGAGCTGAAAGACGGGACACCAGAGTGCGACGTCCAAAGATACTGCGAAATCATCCTCAGCGCCAACGTCGAAGTGCCAAAAAGCTTCGGCACCCATGATCTAGAAGCAGTGAAGACCTTACTAACCTCATCCCTACCACTACCAGAGACCGCAATTCAAAAGTACTGCAAGAAACTTCTACAGGCGAAAGATCTGGGGCACTCATACGACTACGACGACAGCGCTGGATCTTTCATTATCGTGGAACAGAAGCTAGGCGCTGAGTACCTGCTTGTGCTTCTGCCGCTACTAGCGCGGACCTTCGCAAGCAACATACCGTGGTTGATCACGCTCCTGACTCGAGTCAAAAGCTCGAAACCCTGGACTTCCGATACGTTCCTACCGAAGTTTACTGACGCGGTTATCGGACCTGCGATCGACGGTTTCTATCTCAATAACCGCAAATTCAATCAAACAATCCGCGAGATTAATCATGGCAATGCGGGCGCCACGGAAGATGAGCTGGAACGTTTTCTTCAACTCCTGAATGATATGGGCTTGGATGAGATGGTGGACAAGTTGACAGACAAGATGGCGCGGTCCGACCAGCTCAAGGTTGATGAATTTCAAGATGCGCTTGCGAAGAAGACGACGGCGTACTTGGCGAGGAAGCGTAAGGCGATGGAGTTAGCGGACAGTCGGCAGGAGAAAAAGAGCAAAGCAGTGCGCTGAAGGGAGGGCATGTCGTAGAGGGTTATCACTGATGGGTTGCAGATCTGAGAACACGAGACGACGTACGGATTGTAAGTGATGTGGGTTGTTGGCGGCACTTGGGTGGCCAGCGCTCCGAGAAACACATCTTGTAGCTAGTAGACACTTGCTCTGGTAGTCTTGTAGATTTACTATGACTACGTGTGAGTACTGTCTCACCTCAATCAAGGAGAAAGGTGAACACCCTGGCGCCTACATTGCCGCTAACTCTGCATATCTGGCTGTTTATGCTGTGCCGTAGTCCTCTCGCTGCCTCATCATCTTTTCGCTTGTATCACATCTTCATCGCCGACCTCCTCTTCCCTTCTTCTTCTTCCCCCTTCCACCATCATCAGCAGCCTTCCTTTTCTTCGCCTCCTTCGCCTCTTCAATCGCCCTCTTCTTCTCAATCATCTCATCCGTCTTCTCCTCGCCGAGCACGTCGCGGAAGCTCTCGAGATCGAGGTCAACAAAGTCCATCAGCATCCTTTGCGCCAGCCGATCCACGACATGTTCCAGCTTCAGGTGTTTGAGAAGCGGGATCAGCAGCTTCAACTCCTCCATCGTGACACCGCGGTCTCCCTCATTGGTGCCGCGAACTGGCGCTATGTTTTTGCGGAATGGGAAGGAATCGCGAATCATTTCACCGACAGGTATGTCCGGTCTAGAGACTACTAGTTTCGCTCGCTCAACGGCGGGTTCAAGGACGGTGGTGCTGAATTGTGGGAGGAAGGTTTCTGAAGCCCAGTGCTTGCAGTCTTTGGCTTGGATAAGCAATTGGACTAGCCAGGGGAGGTTGTTGACGAAACCGCCAAGGCGTGGGAGAAGAAGGGGTAGGGCTTCCTCTCCAAACGATTCCGATACGAGAATGATCTCTTTCATCTCATTGTCGTTAATCCACCCTTTCCGAACCTCTGTGTCTTCCGTTGGTGCACGCAGCAACTTGTCGCAGTACTTGCGGATAGCGGGCTCAGCCACCGACAGGTGATTCTGTAGAATTCTTCGCATGCAACTCAAATCAGACAGACCGACTTTCTTAATGCCTGACGCGCCCGCCTCAAGCACAATGTTGCAGTACCGTCGGATATCGACGTCTGGTATTTGGCTGTTGAGTTTGGTTACGTTTTGGAGAAAGTCCTCGATCAAAAAGATACAAGAGTCCTCGGCCATGGAGCGAAGTGTATCGTCGATAAATGCATCTTCGAGTTCGCCACCGTTTTTGAGTAGTGGTAGAGAATCGCTGAGGCTAAGAGAGGTACTATTAGATACTGCATCGCGGATGATAGATGCTCGCCAGGTGGCCATGGCGGCTGGTATGTTCGACTGAGGACTTTTACTACAAGGGTTGTCAATACTTTAACTGCCGCATATAATGGGTTAATCATCACTTACTCTTCTGCTTCTTGAGCTCGGTCGTATGCTGCCTGAACCTTGTCACACATATACATCTTCCCTCTGATACTTTCATGGTATTTCACAAACCCATCCGCCTTCTTCAATTGGTCGGGTTCTTGTGTCTTGTACAGTAGGCGACCTATAGCATCGATGGTCTGATCGGCCTCTACTTTGCGATCGAACGAAGCACTGAGCTGTTCCATGGCCTTCTGCCACAAAGCCGCCGAGCCATACTCCATGCACACAGCAGCCAGCTGGTCCAGAATCGCTGCAGGTATCAAGGGAAACCTTGCGCACATGAAGATATGTCCCTCTTTGCGGTAGTTTCCAGGGTCGTGATAATCGAGTAAAAGCTCGCACAATTTTTGTAGTCGCGGGAGACTAGCCGGGCCTGCGTCGGGTGCACGCACTTTCTCCGTTGCCTCATCGAGCAGTTTGATGATGGGTTCCGCTTTGGCATATTCCCATCCATCGACCATGAAAAGCTCTGCTTCGATTCCTTTGCCTTCGGGACTGAGCATGAAACGCTTACGAATATCGAAAGCGCGAAGGTTACGCGGAGGAACGATGACGAGTGCAGTCTTGACATGTCTTTGATCAAGTTAGCTTCAGACGTAAAAAGATGGGATAACCTTACTGGTGAAATATCTCAGCCTCCGTACCACCACCCATCTCTTTACCACCAACCTCAGTTTCAATCTTAGCTGTCTCATGTGTGAAGGCTTCCTTCTGGGTGACTTCAGTATCTCGCACGGGTAGTCGCAATGCACGCAGCTTTCCCTCCAAGTCAACGACTCGCACCAGGTTCAGCTGGTCGACCTTTATGGTGTGAACTTTTTTTGTATCGATCTTGGGACGGCTGTTCTCCCATCTGCGGGAACCGCGAATTGCCACGAAGAGATGACAGCCAAGCAGTTTCTTCACGGACGCGAAGAGTAGTGTGAACTTAAGCTCTTTGCAGACCCTTTCCAGTGTATCAAAATCTGAAACGTCCTGGTCTTTGAGTGTCGTAGGTAGATCTGGGAGCTTGTACACATTTTGAAGTACGTGAACGAGTAGCTGAGGAGAGCGAGTCCCGTCGCCGTGGTTTTGCCAGCTTTTGAGCGCTGCAGTCAGGGCTTTTTCTTTCTCGGACTGAGTCTTGAGAGAGAGCGCGACAATGATTGCATCGTGCAATGTGCGATCCGGGATGGTAGTGTTTGGCGCCGACATAATGGCGGGATGATGGAGTGGCCTCTTCAATGTCCGATCAGGTTGGTTGCGTCCAGCGCAGGCACTCTTGAGTTTCTGTGTACGATCTCGCGAAAGAAGTTTGGATAGCTATAGACTGGAATGTTTGCTCCTTTGAAGCGATTGCGTTGTGTCTAGCTCGATTCGGTGTGGATTTACGAGTTGCTGAGAAGAAAGGGAACTTTGGAGGTGAGAACTCCAGATCAAACCAAAAAGATCAGGGGAATGGAACAAAGAGTAACTGCGACGACTTTTAAGACATAGTTTCACTTTCGGAGAACCCGTAGTACTTTGCATGCGTCACGTTCTTTCACTTTTGAACACACGACTTACGTCCACGCTATGTGATCGTCCATGATTATCAGTAGGGGCAGCCGAGTTCCTAGATGCATTGTGGCTCTTTGCGTATCAAGAGTGCCCTCAAAGGGACATTGACCTTACCCAAAGGAACAGATATAACAATTTGCCTAATGGCAACAGAAAGTGGTGCAGTAGGTATCGACAGAGGTGCGATACGTATCGAGAAAGGCGACCGTTGTTGCGACTCTGCGGCGTTCAGTCGTGGCTGCCAGAACTTTGATTCCACCGCGTTATCTAGGTAGTTGCTACTCATCACCATCCCTACGAAGCCCGCATCCGTTTGCTCTCACGTTCATCTTCTACGGTTTGAGTTACCGGTATGCGCATCGTCGTGACTGTTCGTTCGGCAGGCTGGGGTGTTGTACTGCTCCCAAGATAGGTCTGCTCCGCTCTTCGCCGGTTACACGAACCAGAATCATCTGCTCATAACGACAGACCGACAACACCGAAGCGTCAGCGTTGTGTTGCCAATCCAGCGCGCGTGTAAGAGATATCCGTGGCAATATACGATCGTTGCTGCGTATGGCTATTTAAGGTGGTGTCGCTACCACCCGCCCGCAGATCTGTGTAGATACGCAATCGCGGTGTACGGCGTCCTCAGCTAGTACTGCGGTACTCTTCCTTCTCTTTCATATGTCGATTGTTATGAAGGCGTTCTCCTCATGATATAAACCCTACCCAGGTAACTACAACAGATCCTAGACCATGGATGGACCTACCACACCTACCACGCTACTTGTTATCACAAGCTAACTTCCAATCCAGCGCATACCTCCACGGCTCGGTATAGCTGACGCAAAATTTGAAAGCAACAACTTCGTCACGATAGTGGCTCACAGAACCTCGACAAAGACGTCGGCGATTGGTACTGTGTTCGCCAACCTTGCCTAGGTATTCAGACCATACAGGTGGGCCTCTCGAAGAACCCGGGGATGTCGCCCAGATGAACTCGAGAGGACCTCCTACGTAGCAGCAGCGATATGGTGAGTAAGAACGCGCTCGCTCTACCGACGAAATCGAAGTACGCCGTCGCTACCTAGGTACGAAATGCGCTGGCCGTCACGCCGCGTTAGTCGGTTCCAGCCAAATCGCCCACCAAAGCTATGCAAGGACTCGCCTGGATCTATCAGCCTGCAGCAACACAATTATGCATATCTTGTGCAACTCGACCAGCGACTCGTGCTCATTGCACAACGGAAGGTCGGCTCATCACAGCCCTTGGACATCGAATCGCAGCCATGATTCTTCTGCCAGGCCCCCCACCTCGAGCTATCCACCGTCACCGCCCTCGCGTCCCACATTTACCAACCCACCTTTGCGTCTTTCTACGTCCTTCCACGTCATCATCTCCCAGGCAACGCCCTCAGGACGCTAGAGCACTAGCGCCTCTCAGACTTTTCGCCCAGGTATATAAGCCCACCCTCCCCCGTCCCTCCTTCTGCTCCTTAGCTCTCTTTGCCTTTTGGCTTAGATCAAGTGTAGTATCTGTTCTTTTCAGTTTAATCTCTGAGTACGTTCCTCTCTCCATCTTCTACGCTCGAAGAACGCGTCGCTAACATCACCGCAGAACGTTCCTACGGGAACTTCAAGATTATTCTTATTTTTGAAACCAGCCGGAGGATCCCTGGGCTTGCTCATATCCTCTGGCACAGTGTCGCCTCTATCGCACTATCTGAGGCTGACGCGAATTACCTTTTTCATTGAGACGATTGGCTTGCTCCAGTTGCTTGAGGAAGAAGAGACGCTTGCTTCTATGACAAACACATCCTCGTTGTAATGAAGCTGAGAGCTGTCGCGCATGTTGAGGATTTTTCTAGTATTTGCGCGCCAGGAGTGGGGCAATGTTGAGCAGAACCTCGGTTACTAAGGGTACCTAACACGAACAAGCCCGCTCATTCAAAGTCGTACGAGACAACAGATATCGCGTGTATGTACTCGATCACTCTCGTAGTCAATAGGCTCACCAAGAGTTAGATGCTGTGTTCTTCTATATCGAGTATTCGTTGCAGCTTGGCAAACGTGAGCTTCTGCGCAGTCGCCCTACGAAAGCCCCAGGCTTGAGAACGACAAATCCACGTCTATACACCGTATCTTGATTCATTAATGTGTTGCTGTTGAAACCTTCAGATGTCCATTACTTTCAGAATACCTAGATATGTTTCGGTGTCGATAAGTGAGCTTTGTACTCCCAGTGCCTGTATCCAGATATACCCAGGCACCTAGCATCACGTGCACTTGCTGAGGTTGTTGCTGAATAGATATATACGTTTGCGGTTCCCATTTTAGCTTCGAGGGGCCCCAATGACAAACATTCCTACTCTTCGGCAGTGACACGGAGCGTCCGCATCGAGGCCGGAAGATATATTACTGCTGACGCCAAGTAGCTAGGACTTGCCATATCAGACGAGCATCGTGGTACATGTCAACCCTAAGGTATATTGTCCCACATTAACAAGGCGCATATCTGCTGAGAGCGCGAATGCAGCGAGCTTTGCCATTTATCCCGTGAACCAAGATTGACAAGTGCTACACCAGCATCAGCATGCAAGAAGTCTCATCGACGACCTAGGAAGCTTTCCGTTCTGTGTTGTATTGCTTGCTGTAGATAGCAACGACGATGTCAAGATGCAACTATACGCTATGATATCAGCAAGTACATGCCGACGATGAAATCGAAGTATAAAGTCACGGTCGATTGCAACAAGTATCCACCACCCTCATCACTTCAACACCTCACCAAGACAACTAAGATCTCCACGCTCAATCGCAATCATGCATTCCGTCTCCATCATCGCAGTAGCCGTTGGCCTCTTCGCTTCTCAGGCCACAGCCACGATTGCCCTGGGCAACAACGATAGTAGCAACCGTAAGTCGCCAACCTTCTCCACGCTGAACAGACATCTAACAACAGGCCAGTAATGTGGATCTACGGCGACAACTCATGCAGTGGGGTGGTCAACCCCAACTGCGGCTCCCCGGTGAAGCTGAGGAACGGTTTCAGCTGTGAGTACTGCCTCTCCTTCCCTCGAAATCCAGATCACAGACGCGTCCTTGTGCTAATTTCTTTCCGTGCGCAGATGTTGTCAGAGGTTGCGGAACTGATACACGCTGGATCGAGAACGCTGATGGTGGTTTTAACGCTCAGTGCTCTCGCGTTAGCCCTCCTTTCGCCACTGATTGCGGCGTTCAGCTTACGTGGAAGTGTTAAGTGATAGCTAAATGGTTGGCTGGAGGATGTCGCTGATGGACGGGTACTGAGAGTTATGATCGACACTGTCCTTACCTTTGTCATATGTTGATGTGTGTTTGGATTCTGGTGTTGGAGTAGATGATGTTACGCTCGTTTATGGAGAGGGTTCTTGGAAATTTGAAAGCGCTGCGCAGCCTTTAATCCAATTCGCATCCGCGGTGACGTGCTATTGCTTATGCCGTAGTACTTGGTGTGCTCGGCTTTCGTGCGATATTCGCTTGTCCTTTCCCAGAAGCATCTCTAAGACACGTACCACAATAAGATAACTAAAGCGGCCATAGTAGATAGCGGAGGAATGTGCTAAGTATACGACAAGACTACTGTTTACGGCTTGAGAAACATGTATATCAACCTCCAACCGCAAAGTGAGCGGACAGTCTCGGTTTGTCCGTAATGCATGGGATAGATCGCGTACAGGACGTGCAATACATCTGCAAGATAGATCGATCGATCTTCATACAACACATTGGTGGACGCGACGAAAGAGACAGCATGCTCTAGAAAGTGAAATGTATAGTTCATTTGGGCTCTCTCTAGCGGGAGGTGTAGTGCATCAGCGGGAACCAGGATCAAGATCTCTCGCATCTTTACTTCTGCCTAAGATAATTAACTTTATTTGCAGAATGGGTAGCTGAAGCGACGGAGTAGCGTACATGGGTATCTGATCTACCGTGAACTCTCGCGGTCAGCACTAACAGTCCACCCGTTCCCTAAGTGCATGTTTCCGGTGCAGCACGTCATAATGTATGATGTGCCCATGGATACGCCTGGACGAATCAATCAGTTCTTGATGACTCCGGGATCGCGATGTAGAGTTCGGCTATAAACGCATTCTAGAACTTTACTCTTCAAGTGTACACTCTAGATTAGCCATTGAACCGGTGGCAGACCCAAAGACCATTTACAAGAAGCAGTAGAAGTCGTAGTATCGTGGAGACGTCCACCCCTCCTATCTACTACACCTTGGCACTTCAATGCCTTGAAGCACCTGAGGCACGAAAAGAAGGACTGGCGTTGGTGTTGTGGCTACCGAGCCGCGTGCGTCGGATTTACCTAGGTAGCCGTTGGGATAGCCTGGCAGGGCTGACGTTTCGTTTCAAGCCGGCGATTGTTTCGAATGACGGCACGATCCGCTAACGCAGATTGATGGAGGTTGGACGTGTAAGAAGTTTGATAAGAAGGAAAAGCTTGGTACTGGCCGTTGATGCGGGTGACGGAATCGTTATCCGAGTAGATGGGCGTGATGTGATGTGACGGTGGGGAAGAAGAAATGGTAGAGACTGCATGTTTCATGTGACGTCGCGGGGTGAGAAACAAGTGGCGTACATTCGGAAATCGATTGCGAAAGCCACAGAGACATGCGGGTGTAGTG